TAGATTTTCCAAAGATTCATTAATTCTCCCTAGTGCCAGAGCTAAAACCTCTTCAGACGACATTCCTTTTGACTTAGCTTGTACAGATGCAGTCCCTGATGGTCCAGGTACTCCAGAGGTGCCAGATGCTGATGCTCTTCTCTGTAGCCCAATGTCTGTGCGAAAAGATCTACCAGACCTCGTTGTTTTCTCTTGAATCGACTCTGACTTTTCTTTTCCCTCTGCCATAACACTCTAGATAAGTCCAAGGTCACTCCCACAGCTGGGATTTGTTATGAAATGGAAAATCCCCCTGGCCCAGTTATTTTTGTAATAATATCCAGCTTCCTCTAGGGGGACACAATTGCAGTCAAACTTGTGGCTTTTAAAAAGTAACCTTTTTTAAGTCCCCCAGTTCATCAAAAAGACAACTATATCAATCCAGTTACTTTAAAAGTTACTCTAAAACAGGAGAAGTCAGCCAGAAACACTGTATCTCTTTTGCCAAAGCTAGCTGTCAAAAGCACTCTATTTACCGATAGTGCCTTTCACAATGCGGCATTCATTGTCTCAAGGCCAGTCTGTTCCCAGGGTCTAAGCAGTGGATTTTAGCTTCTTTTCCCACTTTTTTTACAGGAAAATACAGTTCAAACCTTTTCCCCTCCTCTCCTGCAATCCGGAGGGGAAGTCTTCTGTTTGATGTTAGGATTTGAGCCCTTTAAAGATATCTTTCAAAGTTCTAGCTCACAGTCTCTTTGCTTTGTTCTATATACAAGAAACGGGAGGCGGACTTCCTGTTTATACCTCCCCGTTTCGGTGCCGAATTGGCTCTTTTCTTTCGTTTAAAATCCAATTTTTCCTACTCAAGGGTAGTTGTTTCTTGCAGCTAAATGTCCAGGAAAAAGTCAGCGCTCTCCGATAACGGCTGTGCGGCTTCGCTCCGCGGAAGAAAGCAGTCACTCACAGCACCGCGCCACTCTCCCCGCTTTGCTCCGGAGCCCAAAAAGAGGGTTCCTTTGCAGTTTGGGGGGGGCGCTGAAGGCGCCCGTGAGTCCACACTCACAGGCTTCACCCGCCTGTGATTTTAGATGGGTCCCCGCTTTGGCCGCAGCGGTCAGACCCAATCCACGGAGCTAGTCCCTCAGAGAGCAGAGGGAATCCGCCATTATCGCTGGCGCTAACCCGGAAGTCCCCCACTGCCTCCCGCAGTTTGGTCAACTCATGTTTGTATCTTCGAGAACACTGGTGTCTCAGCTTCAGGATCTGTCTTCCAGTGAGCATCAGGGGCTGATTTCTAAGAATGGGAGAGGTTTGATCATCTTGCAGTTCATGGGCTCTCAAGAGTCTCCTCCAGCACATGGATAATTCAATAGCATCAATTCTTCGGTGATCCACCTTCTTATGATCCAGCTCTCACTTCCATACATCACTACTGGGAAAACCATGGCTTTAATCATACGGACCTTTGTTGGCAAGGCAATGTCTCTGCTTTTAAAAGATGCTGTCTAGGTTTATCATTGCTTTTCTCCCCAAGAACAGGCATCTTTTAATTTTGTGACTGCTGTCACCATCTGCAGTGATCATGGAGCCAAGAAGTAAATCTCTCACTGCTCCATTTCTTCCCTTTCTATTTGCCAGGAGGTGATGGGACCAGTGACCATGATCTTCGTTTTTTTGATGTTGAGCTTCAGACCATATTTTGTGCTCTCTTCTTTCACCCTCAATAAAAGGTTCTGCCTTGCCATGGTGAAGGGGCTTAAATAACTCAGAGAACCTATGAACTATGCCGAGCAGGGCACCCAAGATGAACAGGTCATAGTGGAGAGTTTTGACCAAACGTGATCCACCTGAAGGAGGAACTGGCAAGCCACTCCAGTATCCCGGTCTTATTCAACATCTTTATCAACGACTTGGATGATGGACTCAAGGGCATCCTGATCAAATTTGCAGATGACACCAAACTGGGAGGGTGGCAAACACCCCAGAGGACAGGATCACACTTCAAAACGACCTTGACAGTTTAGAGAACTGGGCAAAAACAAACAAGATGAATTTTAACAGGGAGAAATGTAAAGTATTGCACTTGGGCAAAAAAAATGAGAGGCACAAATACAAGATGGGGGACACCTGGCTTGAGAGCAGTACATGTGAAAAGGATCTAGGAGTCTTGGTTGACCACAAACTTGACATGAGCCAACAGTGTGACGCGGCAGCTAAAAAAGCCAATGCAATTCTAGGCTGCATCAATAGGAGTATAGCATCTAGATCAAGGGAAGTAATAGTGCCACTGTATTCTGCTCTGGTCAGACCTCACCTGGAGTACTGTGTCCAGTTCTGGGCACCACAGTTCAAGAAGGACACTGACAAACTGGAACGTGTCCAGAGGAGGGCAACCAAAATGGATCAAAGGCCTGGGAAACGATGCCCTTATGAGGAACGGCTAAGGGAGCTGGGCATGTTTAGCCTGGAGAAGAGGAGGTTAAGGGGTGATATGATAGCCATGTTCAAATATATAAAAGGATGTCACATAGAGGAGGGAGAAAGGCTGTTTTCTGCTGCTCCAGAGAAGCGGACACGGAGCAATGGATCCAACTACAAGAAAGAAGATTCCACCTAACATTAGGAAGACTTCCTGACAGTAAGAGCTGTTCGACAGTGGAATTTGCTGCCAAGGAGTGTGGTGGAGTCTCCTTCTTTGGAGGTCTTTAAGCAGAGGCTTGACAACCATATGTCAGGAGTGCTCTGATGGTGTTTCCTGCTTGGCAGGGGGTTGGACTCGATGGCCCTTGTGGTCTCTTCCAACTCTATGATTCTATGATTCTATGAAATGCACTGGGTTTCTGCACCTCCTCTAGAAAGTTCTCCAGAAATGTCCTTCCAGAGCTACTGGAGAGTTTCAGCTAGTAAGTGGGTTCACAGAACCACAGGACAGCGTTCGCTCCTCTTTTCTCCTCACCTCCCATGGAAGCAGTCCCGGGTTAACGGAGTCACTGAGCCTTCCGGAACTTTGCAGAACAAATATGACATCTGGACTGGGTGGAGGAGAGCTAGGAGCAATGGGGTGAGTGGCAGTCGGGGGGGGGGCGATATTAGCGAATCAGGGGAAAGCATTTGCGTAAGCGGCGAAGGCGGCAGGACAAACGACAAAGGCTATGCGACAAGGGTGTGCCCTTCCAACAGTTGCAGTGCCTCCTCTCATGCTGTACGCAGCAAGGAGTGCGACTGCACCGGTTGAATGGCGGCCTGCCTCAGAGCTCTCATTGGGGGCACAGGCCCAGTTCGCTGTGTGATCTATTTCAGCCCCCTTAAGGCTCGGTCCGCGGTACCGCTAGAAGGGTGCATCTGCCTGTGTTTTGCTTGTCATGAGACTGGGGGGGGGGGGCTCAGGACCCCAGCCCCACAGAGCTACCAAGGGGACGTGTGGGGCGAACACAACACAGACATGGTGAGGCCTAGTCCGACGACCCACTGGACTGCGCGTCGCCTGGGAAATCCGAAGCCTTTTCATGAATGGTGCAAAATCATTGTTCAGTGCGGTACGCATTCAACCACCCCCAAAATCAAAAGCTTTGGAAACGCTTGTCCTGTCCCCCCCCCCATTTGTCGACTGTGAATTCAGAGATAGAAATGTGGAACAGCTCATTTTGCAGGTTGGGGGTCAAATGGATTAGGGGGACGAGGGAATGCTCTCCTTCTGACTGAGGTATACGGCCTTGGCCCAGTATACCTGAAGGAGCGTCTCCACCCCCATCGTTCTGCCCGGACACTGAGGTCCAGCTCCGAGGGCCTTCTGGCGGTTCCCTCGCTGCGAGAAGCAAAGCTACAGGGAACCAGGCAGAGGGCCTTCTCAGTGGTGGCACCCGCCCTGTGGAACACCCTCCCATCAGATGTCAAAGAGATAAACAACTACCTGACATTTAGAAGGCAGCCCTGATCAGGAAAGTTTTTAATGTGTGACATTTTAATGTATTTTTAACCTTTGTTGGAAGCCACCCAGAGTGGCTGGGGAAACCCAGCCAGATGGGCGGGGTACAAATAATAAATTATTATTATTATCCTTCATAGCCCCTCCAAGATTAGTCTTGGGGGTGGTGTACAACATAGGAATCTGCCTTAAACCAAGTGAGAACTTGGGCCCATATAACTCAGCACGGTCCACACTGATTGGCAGCAGCAGTCTCATCCCAGCCCTACCGGCAGCTGCCACTGGGAACTGAACCACTGGGACGTTCTACATGCAAAGCAGGTGTCCTGTGGCTGAGCTGCTTCCCTTCCCCTCTGAACACCAGCTGCTAGGAATCACAAACAGGGAGATGGCTGCTGCCTTTGTGTCCTGCTTATGGGCTTCCCAGATGCTGAGATTCGTGGAATCGGGGAGTTGAAAGGGGATCCCAGGGGTCATCTAGTCCAGCCCCTGCAATGCGGGGAATCTTTGCTAAAGCATCCATGACAGCTGGTTGTGTGGATGGCCATGCTGGGAAAAGAGAGGGTTGGACCAGAGGGGTCTTGGGGTCTCTTCTCTCTCTCTCTCTCTCTCTCTCTCTCTCTCTCTCTCTCTCTCCTATCCCCAACTTCTGCTTATCTTTGAGGTTTCATCTTTGAATTTATTTTATAAAATTTATACACCGCTTGATAGCTCAAAGAAACCTCAAAGCAAAAAAAGATAGAACAACAAAATCTTCTAGATGCGAAAAATGATTCAGCAATCATTAGAAAAATTTCAAAAAGCTAAAATAACCAAAACCGGGGACTCAGCTACACAGCTGCAAATAAAATGTTTTAAACGAGTTGTAAAGTGCAATATGCAAATGCGGTGCTAGGTGGCGACAGTGAGCTATGCAAAACTCAATGTATTTTTCAAAACGTTTTAAAATAAAGCATTTTCACAGTGTTGTTTTTTTTAAAAAAATATGTCTGCAGATTCCACCCAGGTTTAAATCTCGCACCAGGTTTCTAAGCGTCTGGACAGGCTTGTCTGAACAAGAATGGTTCTAGCAGTCCCCGAAAAGAGGGCAGCTGAAGGCGCCTGCCCGAAATCAAGTGGCAGAGAGTTCCACAGTGCTTCCACACGAAATGGTTGAGTTTTTACAAGTGCAGAACGGGCACCAGGCTTCCCTCCAGCCCCGTCTTACCCTCATGCTGTGGCGCTTGAAGACGTTGTGCCTGTTGAGCGGCGGGGTGTGCAAGGAGTTGACGGGAGACGGGTACTCGATGGGGCTGGTCAGCGTTGGCGAGCTGGCACACAGACCCTCGGGCACCTGGGGAGGCGTAAGCAGAAGGCAGCGGGCACAAAAAAGTCTAGACACAGCATAGGGCGGCAGGCGCACAAACAAGGCTCAGGAGACTTTGGCACGGAGAGAAAAATAGCAGGCAGAGGAAGGAGAAAGAGGCCGTCTGTTTGCGACGGGGGCAGCTATGCCATCTTGTGGGAGTGGCGCTCCACATGCGCTGAGGCACACCTTGCCCCCAGCATGCCACAGCGTGCCAAGGAGCCTTGCGTCCACACTCCATGAACTTGTGGCCTCTTGGCTAGCAAACAGGATTTTCCCCCTGACCGTTTGTCCTCTCACAGATTACGCAGACGTAATCAAGTATTGGGGAAAACATTTTAGGGAAACACCTGCTGACACGTGTATTTGACAACGCTGGAAATGTGCTTAGATGGAGATATGTCATGTTCAGAGTGGTTTCACTACTGTCTCCAATTGTTGACTTCTGCAAATAAAAGGAGCCTCTGCGCAGCTAAGAGGGATGCGGGTGGCGCTGTGGGTTAAACCACAAAGCCTAGGGCTTGCCGATCAGAAGGTTGGCAGTTCGAATTCGTGCGATAGGGTGAGCTCCTGTTGCTCGGTCCCTGCTCCTGCCAACCTAGCAGTTTGAAAGCACACCAGTGCAAGTAGATAAATAGGTACCGCTCTGGCGGGAAGGTAAACGGCGTTTCCGTGTGCTGCTCTGGTTCGCCAGAAGCGGCTTAGTCATGCTGTCCGCATGACCCGGAAGCTGTACGCCGGCTCCCTCGGCCAGTAAAGCGAGATGAGCGCCGCAACCCCAGAGTCGGCCACGACTGGACCTAATGGTCAGGGGTCCCTTTAACTTTACCTTACTGTACAGCTAGTCTCACGCACAGCTCACCTGAATCCAACCTCCCATCGTCCTTTGTTATTCCTACACATCTTACATCCGGGTAAGGAGAAGTAGTGGGCATTCCCTCACGATTTTCAGACCAGAAATTTGGGGAATCCCGTTCCAAAAGGGGCACCAGAAACCAGCTTGATGGGAGCGGTGGCTGGAGACGGAAATGGTTGCTATTTCGCTCCAAAAACGAGCACCCAGTTCAGTTTGCCAATCTGCCCACCGGGCATCCGAGGCTAGATGTGCCCCGCGGACTTAGAGCAGCGGTTCCCAAAGCGGGTGGGGTTGCTCCCTGTGGGGCAGTGGGATTCCGTAGGGGGCTGTTAAGAGGCAAGCGGGAGGCAGGGGGTGTATATGGGTATTTGGTGTTGAAAAGCCGGTATCACTAGTTTGAGTCTATCTGTTGGGGAGAGGAACAGAACAGAGACTCTAGGACAGGCATAGTCAAACTCGGCCCTCCAGATGTTTTGAGACTACAATTCCCATCATCCCTGATAGCTAGGGATGATGGGAGTTGTAGTCCCAAGAATGGTTGCCATCAATTTGCTTTGAACTGATTTTATAATGAATTGATTTTAGAATGCTGTATTATTTTACTGTTGTTAGCAGCTCTCGGCTGGGGAGGGCGGGCTATAAATAAAATGTTATTATTTTATTATTATAAAACATCTGGAGGGCCGAGTCTGCCTATGCCTGCTCTAGGAGATGGGCATGGCTGGCAGGCTGGCTGGCAGGCTGGCACCAGCAACATTTTGTTGGGCTGCAAGCGCATGGGTTTAAAACCAGATTCTGGGAAGGAATTCGAAGCGATAAACAGAAAGGTCAGAAGTCTTGTTCCGGCAGCTGCAGGAATTCCTGACAAGCATCAAGCAGCTGCTACAAATTCAGCAGGAAAAGCACTCATTTTTGGCTCGGCAGGAACAAAAATGCAAGAGTCAACACGAGACAAACGGGAAGTCCCTGTTCTTACCTGGAATTGCAGTTTGGGGGCCAGAAGGTTGGTCTGGGGGGGCGGCTTGTACTTTGGTCTGCTTGGCTGGGGAGAAGAAGGGAGGCTTGGTAAGCGTCAAAGAAATATTGGGAAACAAAGCATGGACTTGGCTCTTTCACCCATTTATAAAAAACAAGCACCCAATATATCAATATATATATATCAATATAAACATTTATAAATATGCACAAGCATGCATTAGTCTCATGTCGCAAAAACACACTGAACACCTATATTTGCAGCACACCAAAAAGTCACAGAATCTGTGCATCAAAGTGGAGTGCTCTGAATATTCTTATTTTCGGCCTTGCATGGTTAGTCCTGCTGGCCACATGACCCGGAAGCTGTACGCTGGTTCCCTTGGCCAATAAAGCGTGATGAGCGCTGCAACCCCACAGTCGGCACAACTGGACCGAATGGTCAGGGGTCCCTTTACCTTTTTAATCCCCATGTTAACCCCCCCCCAATCTACATCACTAATACATCACGGTTACATCTTGAAAGGGGAGGTCTGGTGGCAGTAATCTGTGCATCCTGGACCCTGCCCCATGGTTCTCCTTGCCCTCCACCAAACACCCCTCAACAGTGGCGTAGCGTGGGGGGTGCCAGGGGGCCGGCCGCACCGGGCGCAACATGGGCGGGGGGCGCGCTCGCACTAGCAGCTCTCTGCCCCTACTAAAACCCACGGGTTAGGGAGCCCGCGCTCGCTCGGCTTGGCGAGGAGGTCGCGGAAGGGGGAGAGCGAAGCCTTCTGTCGCGGGCAAAAAAAGGAGAGGAAGCCGGGCGGGCGGGCTGGCGGGCTGGCGGGGGTCTGGCTGCGCCTGCTGCTGCCCTTGCCGCTGCTGCCGGGCTTTGACAGCTTGGCGAAGCGGAGAGAGAGGAGCTTTATGGTGATTGCGGCTCTCTCTCCACTGGCCGCCTGGGTAGTGAGCCGAGCCGAGCAGGGAGTCTGGCGAGGGGGCGGGAAGAGACTTTTCCACCTCGCCTGGTCAAAAAGGAGAGCGGAGTCTCCTCAGGGCGCCCTCAGGCAGGGCAGGGCAAGGCAAGCAGAGCGAGGAGGAGAGAGAGGGGAAGGGGGGGGGGAAGCAGCCAGGAAACGCTGCGGTGTGGAGGAGGAATCAATTAAGGAGAGAAAGCGAAAAGCCTTGGAGAAAGGGAAAAAAGGAAAGAAAAGAGCGCGGGGGAAAGAGAAGCCTCGCTGATGCTGCTTGGGAGAGTAAATTACTGTACTTGCCTTGCCCCGGGTTAGGGGGCGCAAATTAATTGCCTTGCCCCGGGTTAGGGGGCGCAAATTACTTGCCTTGCCCCGGGTGCTGATAACCCATGCTACGCCGCTGCCCCTCAAGTGTAACAAATGAGATATTTACATTTCCCTGTTTCCCAGCCAACTTAATCCCACCCTTTCGTCTTCATTTGAGTTTGTTATTTCTGGAATGGCTACAAGTCACAAAAGTTATTGTGCTGATTTTGGTAGTGGGCTGCATGTGCAGGATATCTGCTGGAGGGGCAACCCCCCCCCAACCTATACATAAATTCCTGCAACACTCTTCCACTTGGAAGAACTTTTCCCATGGGAGAATCTGACTGAACGCAATGGCAAGAGAGTGGCCTGTGCTTGGAGCCTGTCTCTGTGCATATGAACTTTTCTCACCTTTGGAGGGGGTTCCTGCGAAGAGGGGGGCTCCATAATTTTGGGGGGCCGGTGGCGGTTGTTCCTCTCTTGCTCCCGTGCAATCTCTTTCTCCATCTGGTAAACGTCACTGCAATCAAAAGAGGGAAGAGAGCCATTCAGCTTGGCAGAACAACTGCCTGCAAAGTTTTCTCTGGGGGTTTCATTCATTTTGTTTAACGGGAATGGGGGAGGAATTGGGTTTCGTTTGCCTTTTACTCTTAACTTGCACTTCTCAAATCAACGTGCGAACCGAAACACTGCCATCATTTGAAATTTGCACTTATCCAATCCGGTAAGGCAGTTCTCTAAGCAAACAATGGATGGTATTCAATTCATGTAGACTCAGAGTAGGCCCACTGAAATGAATGGACATAACCTAGTCATGTTCATTAATTACAGTGTGTCTTAAGCTTAGTTTATTCCAGTGTTTAGAAAATGAATTATGCTATGGGAAACCACGTGCATTGTGGAATGGAGTCTGCGGAACCAAGGGAATTCTGCAACTTTGCTTATGTGATTTATTCAGCTTGCAGAATGTTGCTTTCCCTAGTGCAGATTTCAGATTTGTAATGGCTAACCTAGGGTTGGACGCGGGTGGCGCAGTGGGTTAAAGCACAGAGCCTAGGACTTGCCGATCAGAAGGTCGGCGGTTCGAATCCCTGCAATGGGGTGAGCTCCCGTTGCCCAGTCCCTGCTCCTGCCAACCTAGCAGTTCGAAAGCACGTCAAAGTGCAAGTAGATAAATAGGTACTGCTCTGGTGGGAAGGTAAACGGCATTTCCGTGCACTGCTCTGGTTTGCCATAAGCGGCTTAGTCCTGCTGGCCACATGACCTGGAAGCTGTACGCCAGCTCCCTCGGCCAATAAAGTGAGATGAGCGCCGCAACCCCAGAGTCGGTCATGACTGGACCTAATGGTCAGGGGTCCCTTTACCTTTTTTAACCTAGGGTTACCAGACATCCCTGGTTCCTGGGGACAGTCCCTGGATTTGCAAATCTGTCCATGGACAAATTCCACCCCCGGAATGTCCCCAGATTTGCAAATCTGTCCCCGGGAAACGTGGCAGCGGCAGCCTCAGCAGCCCGGAGCCAGCCTGGTAGCGCAGTTGGCTCTGGCTGGCTTCAGGAGCTGCTTGCTGCTACCGCCACTGCCGAAGGGGAACTGGGGACGTCCAGTGGTACAGATCTCCTGCCCCCTTCAACCTTTGTTTTGACAGATTGGAGGAGGCTCAGGAGTTGCGGGTGGGCGGCCGTTTCCCAGGAGGGGCGCAATGCGAGCGGTTTCTCTGTCAGGCAAGGTGCAAAGCCCTTCAGTCAAAACAAAGGGGGAAGCGGGCAGGAGATCGGGGAAGGTTCAGGAGTCGCGGGCATGTGGTGCACCGTTGCCCAGTTTTTCAAAAACTCTGCGCATTTATGTTTCACAGGGTGAGAAAGAAGGGCTTTGCACCTTTACACAATATGCCTGTGTGCTTGGGCCCAGGGTATTTTTGCCTCACCATCCCCACTACTGACTCCCTGTTGCTACTCAGCTTAAAAATAAAATAATAATAATTTATTATTTATACCCCGCCCAACTGGCTTAGTTTCCCCAGCCACTCTGGGCGGCTCCCAATCAAGTGTTAAAAACAGTACAGCATTAAATATTAAAAACTTCCCTGAACAGGACTGCCTTCAGATGTCTTTTAAAGAGAAGATAGCCGCTTATTTCCTTCACATCTGAAGGGAGGGCATTCCACAGGGCGGGCACCACTACCAAGAAGGCCCTCTGCCTGGTTCCCTGTAACCTCACTTCTTGCAATGAGGGAACCGCCAGAAGGCCCTCGGCGCTGGATCTCAGTGTCTGGGCTGAACTATGGGGTGGACACGCTCCTTCAGGTATACAGGACCGAGGCCATTTCTGGCTTTAAAGGTCAGTACCAACACTTTGAATTGTGCTCGGAAACGTACTGGGAGCCAATGCAGATCTCTCGGGACCGGTGTTATGTGGTCCCGGTGGCCACTCCCAGTCACCAGTCTAGCTGCCGCATTCTGGATTAATTGCATTTTCCAGGTCACCTTCAAAGGTAGCCCCACGTAGAGCGCATTGCAGTAGTCCAAGCGGGAGATAACTAGAGCATGCACCACCCTGGCGAGACAGTCTGCGGGTGGGAAGGGTCTCATCCTGCGTACCAGATGGAGCTGGTAGACAGCCGCCCTGGACACAGAATTGACCTGCGCCTCCATGGACAGCTCTGAGTCCAAAATGACTCCCAGGCTGCGCACCTGGTCTTTCAGGGACACAGTTACCCCATTCAGGACCAGGGAGTCCTCCACACCCGCCTGCCCCCTGTCCCCCAAAAACAGTACTTCTGTCTTGTCAGGATTCAACCTCAATCTGTTAGCTGCCATCCATCCTCCAACTGCCTCCAGACACTCACTCAGGACCTTCACCGCCTTCACTGGTTCTGATTTAAAGGAGAGGTAGAGCTGGGTGTCATCTGCATATTGATGGACACCCAGTCCAAACCCCCTGATGATCTCTCCCAGCGGCTGCATGTAGATGTTGAAAAGCATGGGGGAGAGGACGGAACCCTGAGTCACCCCACAAGTGAGAGCCCAGGGGTCTGAACACTCATCCCCACCACCACTTTCTGAACACGGCCCAGGAGGAAGGAGTGGAACCACGGTATGACAGTGCCCCCAGCTCCCAGCCCCTCAAGACGGGCCAGAAGGATGTTATGGTCGATGGTGTCAAAGGCTGCTGAGAGATCCAGCAGAACTAGGAAACAGCTCTCACCTGTCCCCAGATTCATTGAAAAAAATCTGGTAACCACAGGCTACCCTCCTACTCACCTCAAGCTGCAGACCAGCTCTTTGAACTTGGGCCGGTCGCTGGGGTCATAATCCCAGCAGCGGGTCATCAGTGCGTAGAGGATGGGAGGGCAGGCGTCGGGCTTGGGCAGGCGGTCTCCCTTCTCAAGCACCGCGATCACGTCCTTGTTCTCCAGCCAGAAGAAGGGCTGCTTCCCGTAGCTGAGGATTTCCCACATGCAGACGGCTGAGGAAATCAGGAAGAGAAGAGAGCGTGGGAGAGAGGTGCAGGGATTGGCGGGAGACACGAAACTGCACCAGCAAGAAACCAGGCTGATTTACCTATTTAAATCTCTGCACCTGGGGGGGCGGGGCGGAGGGGGTTGAACACTTAATTACCGTATTTTTCGCTCTATAAGACGCACCAGACCACAAGACGCACCTAGTTTTTGGAGGAGGAAAACAAGAAAAAAAATATTCTGAATCCCAGAAGCCAGAACAGCAAGAGGGATCGCTGCGCAGTGAAAGCAGCGATCCCCCTTGCAGTTCTGGCTTCTGGGATAGCTGCGCAGCCTGCATTCGCTCCATAAGACGCACACACATTTCCCCTTACTTTTTAGGAGGGATAAAGTGAGTCTTATAGAGCAAAAAATACGGTAGATTTCAGTTGTTTTAAGTTTTCCTACTGATTTACCTATTTAAATTTCTGCACCTGAGGGCGGGCGGAGGGGGTTGAATACTTATTTAGATTTCAATTGTTTTATTTAAGTTTTCTGACCGATTTACCTATTTAAATCTCTGCACCCAGGGTGTGTGTGTGTGTGTGGTTTGAATACTGAATTAGATTTCAATTGTTTTATTTACGTTTTCTGACAAGATGGCTACTCTTTGTATTCTTTTTGCTAGATTTTGGATAAATTTCCTGAAAATTGATGTGATTCATTGTACCTGTGGGTAGCCTTTATAATGCTCCTGGGGTTTTGCCAACAGCATCAGCTTGCTGCACTTTTAAGTGATGGCTGATCCATGGCCATTTGAGGTGCCTTTGGGGACAATTTATTTGGTATGTATTTGTTATTGGTTGTTTATTTCCAGGCCTGTCATTTCTGTGTTGCAACCCAGGAGATTTTCTTTGGAGGAATTGGGGGAGGGCAGTTAATCAAGTTATGGGGATGGTGGGGTGCGCTTGGTTCATGGAAGCGCAGCAGCACCTCCGCTGCAGTGGGAATGAGGGCTAACCTAAATGTGAAGAGATTTACAAAAAAAGAAAGAAAAAGAGTGTGAAGAGATACTGGTGGGAGAATCTGCATACTCAGACTGTATTAGGAATGTGTCAGGAATATTTGCATTTGTTTTTTCTTGCTGTATGTGCTGTTTTGTATTTTTTTTCTTTTTTTTCTCTTTTTCTTTTTGACCGTTTGTATGTTTTTTGTTTATTTACTTTTTATGTTTTTGTTTTAAAAAGAACTCAATAAAAAGATTTAATAATAATAAAAAGGAATATTTCTGCAAAGCGTGGCCTTGAGCTACCCTAATAAGATAGGAGGTGCCCTGTTCCTCTCACGGGATCGGGCATCCAGCTCCGATAATAGAGATGTGCTTGTCCTCTGAGAATGTGATGTAATTTCTACGCACGTGTAAAGCTAAATTGGAGAAATGCCTCTGTATATGCCTGTGTAATATATAGTCCTGTGGATGCCACTTCTGGGGGGTTTTTTGGACAATAATTTTTATCAGTTTTCAATTACAATAATCCATTGGTAGCCTCACACTCTAACAATGCCAAATTATAATACAATTACTAATCCCAGTCATTCAAATGCCAAATTATATGATTTAGGTGGTCTCCCGCATGCTAGAATTGATGGTTTGATTATTTACTTTGTTTCTGCGTCCCGAAATCTCATTCGTCTGAATTACATTCCTTTCAAAATAACAACTGCAATATGAACAACGTCTATTCGTCTTGACACATCAGATGATTTATAAACCCATAGGTGAAGCATTCAAACTATATCCTTATTCCTCCTGTGGGTCATAGTTGTCAACTTTTCCCTTTTCTTGCGAGGAATCCTATTCTGAATTAGGGAATTTCCCTTTAAAAAAGGGAAACGTTGACAGCTATGATGTGGGTGCCACTTTTTGTGGGCTTCCCATCAGCCACTGCGGTTCTAAAGCTGTCTCAAACATCACAATGATGTGCAGAATTATTATGATTTATTTATTGAAGGAATCCACCACATCATCCACTTGCAAGCTTAACACAGAGCAGGTTCATCCACCTTGGCTACCTTTGAAACAAGGGCAGCCAATGGGAGGCCTCTAGGTGCTTTTGACTAGAGCTTTCACCAGCCTCACATGGCATGGCCAATGGGCAAGGAGAAGGGGGGTCATAGGCCCCGCCCCCATCTGGAGGGCACCACATTGGCAACCCCTGCCTTAAAACACCCCTTGCAATTCCTAAGTGTGTTGCACGTGGTTCCCTCCGTTTCCAGCCTCTGCTGGAGGCGGAGCACGCAGGCACGGATCCTGCCGCCGCCGCCTCCAAGCATTAAATAAGTTGGAGTTCTTGTTATTAAATATATAAATATACCAAGAAAAAAGCACACCAAGAACACTGGCCAATATAAGTTTCAACAGTGGGAGTGGTCCCCACTCCCAAATCAATAGTCAATTGTGACAAAAACTAATCCATTCAAAAGTATGTATTCTGACAAGGATTACAAACTCAAACTCATGAGTAGAGATAAGTTCATGTTAGTCCATAGTCAGATTTGACGTGAAGATCTTAATTTCAATCACTGAGCAGAAGTCAGAAGTCAATTATGGATCAGAAGCCAGGACAGGGCCCCGTTTCGATGTATTCACCTTCATCAGCTGGAAGTATCAAACATTACATGAAAATACATTTAAATTCTAAATTATCATAAAGTATAAAACAGTATTATACAACATTTGGTTCCTTACCTAATTTTTAAGGGGTCGTGTAAGTTTGAAGAACTCGTATAAATATATCCTGTTATTTTCTATGTTTCTCTCTGACTATGGACTAACATGAACTTATCTCTACTCACAAACTCTTATCTCTAATACGGTGACAAATTATTGTGTTACAAATATCCTTATGAGTTTGAAACCTCTGTTTGAGTTTGTAATCCTTGTCAGAATACATACTTTTGAATGAATTAGTTTTTGTTACAATTGACTATTGATTTGCGAGTGGGGACCACTCCTACTACTGAAACTTATACTGGCCAGAGTTCTTGTCGTCTCCCAGCAGATACTCACCGAACATCCACACGTCGCTGGCAGAGGTGAATCGGCGGAAGTTGATGGACTCTGGGGCCATCCACTTGATGGGCAGGCGAGTCACGGAGGCTGGGTTGAGAAAGGCGAGGGGGGGAGCGGGAAAAGATCAGAGCAAGTTATTCCCAAAGCACAGGCAAGCCAGCAAGGTTACAACTGAGCGGAGGCTAATGCATTCGCTTTATTTTTGATTGCTGCATTTTCAATCTTTTAAAAACACGTTTTTATTGTTTGACACAACATTCCATCTCCATGTGGCCCTCAAATATAGGAGCAGCTCTAAAGTGTATCAGGCAGGGAACCTTTCCCGTCCTATCTGGAGATGTCAGGAATTGGACCTCAGACGTTTTGCATGCCCTCTCCAAATCAAATGGCTTTGCAGTACGGAAGTCCTCCAGCCTGCTGTCGTTCTGGGTTCTAGAGGTCTTGCTTCAGGCCAAGCGTATGAATAAAGGTAAAGGTAAAGGGGCCCCTGACCATTAGGTCCAGTCATGGCCAACTCAGGGGTTGTGGCGCTCATCTCGCTTTATTGGCCAAGGGAGCCGGCGTACAGCTTCCAGGTCATGTGGCCAACAGGACTAAGCCACTTCTGGCAAACCAGAGCAGCGCACGGAAACGCCGTTTACATTCTCTCCGGAGTGGTACCTATTTATCTACTTGCACTTTGATGTGTTTTCGAACTGCTAGGTGGGCAGGAGCAGGGACCAAGCAACGGGAGCTCACCCCGTCGTGGGGATTTGAACCGCTGACCTTCTGATCAGCAAGTCCTAGGCTCTGTGGTTTAACCCACAGCGCCACCCGCGTCCTCAAATACCCACCACCAAATACTCGTGTATACGAGCAATGGTTGTTTGGGGACCCTTTCTGGTCCTGGGACTTCCAACCCATTTAACTAGAGATGCTGAAGACTGGTCCCCAAACCTTCACATGGGAAGCAAGCGCTTTGCCAAATAAGCAAACTGCATCCCACATTTTTGAACCTGGGTGCAGGCCACAGCTGAGAAGAAGAAGAAGAAGAAGAGTTTGGATTTGATATCCCGCCTTTCACTCCCTTTAAGGAGTCTCAAAGCGGCTCACATTCTCCTTTTCCCTTCCTCCCCCACAACAAACACTCTGTGAGGTGAGTGGGGCTGAGAGACTTCAAAGAAGTGTGACTGGCCCAAGGTCACCCAGCAGCTGCATGTGGAGGAGCGGAGACGCGAACCCGGTTCCCCAGATTATGAGACTACCGCTCCTAACCACTACACCACACTGAGCTGCCCTGCAGTGCTGCCCTGCCCAGAGGAGCTGGCCACACAAAAAAACTGCCTTTTTCAGCTGGCAGGGACATCCCAAGGCCTTGGGTGGAGGCCTTTTCCAGTCTGGTTACCCAATATTTTTGGTGAGAAGGCCAGTAGCTCAGCCACAGAACATCAGCTTTGCCTTCAGATGGTCTCAGCGTCAATCCCAATGACATCTTCCAGTAGGGCTGTGATTGTCACCTGCCTGAATCCCTGAAGAGCCACTGCCAGGGAGTGCAGAAAATACTGCGCTAAGATGTACATGCTCAATTATGTGGCGGCTTCCTGTGTTACTGCGCCAATCCTTTGCACTCGAGATGTTGGGCACTTGAATTGGGCATCTTCTTGATGCACCAGCAAGTGTCAAATTCAGCTTGTGCAGCAAACACAAAGCAGTGGCCAGGTGGACTTTATTTACATGTATGCAACATACAATATGAAACGATAATCTTTATCGTCATTGTCCATATACAGAACAATGAAATTGAAAAAATCTACATCAGACAATCAGAACCCAACAAGCCTGCTATCCCAGCCTGGTTAACCCCCTAAAAACTCTGATCCCCCACAATTAAATACAATATACTCCCACAGAGACTACCTTACACTCCGTTCTGGGGAATATTACGTACAGTCGCACCTTGGTAGTTGAATGCCTAAGCTGTCGAACAAATCGGCTCCCGAACGTTGCAAACCCGGAAGTGAGTGTTCCGATTTGCATACATTTTTTGGAAGCCAAGTGTCCGACGCGGCTTGGATTAAATTCAAAAACCAAGGTACGGCTGTACTGTTTTAGTCATATTCAATGGCATTGTATATATACTGCAAATTGCTTTGAGACTTTTTTTGGGGTAGTACAGTACACTCACAATTGACTTGCGCTGATCCATTCATATGATACGATACAATATCTTTATCGTCATTGTCCCATACAGAACAACGAAACTGAAAAATCTACATAAGACATTCAAAACTCAACAAGCCTGCTATTCCAGCTATCCCAACCTGGTTAACCCCCTAAAACCTCTGATACCCCATTTTAAAATACAATATACTCCCATAGAGATTCCTTACGCTGCGTTTAAAATCAAAATCGCATTTGGGTAGAAACTGTTTCTCAGGCGGCTAGTCCTAGTCTTTATAACCCTGTACCTTCTTCCAGAAGGCAGAAGCTAAAAGAGATCATTTCCGGGGTGCGCACTATCCTGCGCTATCTCTGCAGCTTTCTTATGACACCTGGAAGCATAGATTTGATCCAAGGTGGGAAGAGGGCACTCATTTATTCTCTCCGCAGTCTTTACAACCCTGGACAGCATTGTTTTTTCCCTGACCGTGCAGCTCCCAAACCACACACACAGACCACGCTCAACAGTACAATGGTAAAAATGCCATCAGCAGGTTCTTTGAGATATTATTTTTCTGGAGGAGTCTCAGAAAATATAACCATTCAGCCTGGAGCTCTGGGACACCCCCAACCCCCCCTCCTTACCTTTGTAATACTCGTCATCCTCAATGTATCTGGAGAGCCCGAAATCTCCCAGTTTGACGCACTCGTGAGAAGCCACCAGTACATTCCGGACAGCGATGTCCCTGCAGGTGAGAAGGTGAGATTGGCCACTCCTTTTCTGGGAGGTGGAGGGGGGCAATAGGTATGATGGTGGGGTTGATCAGAAGTGCCTGAGTACACATACCATGGTGGGACCCCCCAGGTCATCTATTGCTCACCGATAAGATAAGACAGCCAGCAGAGTGGTTAGAGCACTAAACTAGGACTTGGGAGAAGAGGGTTCGATTCCCTACTCAGCCACGAAGCTCATGGGATGACCTCATTCAGTCACTTGCTCTCAGCCTGACCCACCTCACAGGGTTGTTGTGAGAACAAAACAGGGTACTAGGGAACTAGGGAAGCCAACTTAAGGACCTTGGCAACAGGACTGCTCAAGGTGCCCCGCCTATAAAATTGGAGAAATCAAGAGATACTGTATTTTTTGCCCTATATGACGCACTTTCCCCCCTCCAAAAATGAAGGGGAAATGTGTGTGCGTCTTATGGGGCGAATGCAGGCTTTCGCTGACCCCTCTCGCTCCCCAGGCTTCAGGAAGCTCTGCGCAACCCTCGGGAGACCGGCTCCGAGGGTTGCGTAGAGCTGCCTGCAGTCCCGGGCTCAGCGCAGCTCTGCGCGGCCATCGGGAGCGGGGCGCGAAGTCCCGCCCGGCTCCCGATGGCTGCGCAGAGCTGCCTGCAGTCCCGGGCTCAGCGCAGCTCTGCGCGGCCATCGGGAGCGGGGCGCGAAGTCCCGCCCGGCTCCCGATGGCTGCGCAGAGCTGCCTGCAGTCCCGGGCTCAGGGCACTTCTCCCCATCGCCAGCCCCACAAGCTCGGGGGACAGCGGGGAGGCGGAGCGCGCCTTCCCCCTGTTCCCCGACCTGGTTCTTCCAGCCCCGCACCTGGGGGGGAAATATTTTTTTTTCTTTATTTCCCCCCCAAAAAACTAGGTGCGTCCTATGGGCCTGTGCGTCCTATGGGGCGCAAAATACGGTATATAGCTGCACCGGCAACATATCTTTTCTTTCTCGTATCCAAAAATGCAAGAAGGGCCTTTACACTCGCCAGTGGCTCGGCTCTGCCCTCGCTGGTTCTGGAAGGAGCCTTTTAAAAAGTCCCATACACTCAGAGACTTTGCGCCTGTTCATTGGGGGAGATAGGAAGCCCAGAGCACTTGTTCTTTAGATGTCCCTTTTATGAAGAGGCACATAGTGAGACCATTGATGCCCTGCTGGTGAGGCTCACTGACCTCCCGGAAAAGCAAAAATTCAACCTTCTGTTAGGCAAAGACGACCTGGATGGTCGCCAGATTCTGTGCACAGATCTGTAGGCACAGACCATCTCGCAACCCAAACTTGTTTGTTAAGAAAATCCCCAAACTCGGTTCCAGGGGTAACTCTGGGTCAGCTCTCTGTGGTAGTTTATCTTAAAGTTTTATGTGTCTATATGCTTATCGCATTTATAAATTTTAAATTTATTTAAAAAGGTCCTTGGAGGAAAAGTGAGATACAAATGTTGTTGTTGTTGGCATTTGTCTGTCTCGGGCGACAACAGAAGAGTGTGCCTTTGGGGGTGAAGTCAAGCCGTTGTATCTGAAAAATCTTACACATCACTTGGGAAGGCAGGCAAACTAATGCTAGTGTACTGGAAGAAGCAAAGATCACCGGTGTCGAAGAAATGATTCTTTAACTTCGTTGGACTGGTCATGCTGTGCGGATGCCTGATGATCGCCTTCCAAAGCAGCTACTCTATTCTGAACTTAAAAATGGAAAGCGCAATGCTGGTGGTCAACAAAAGAGGTTTAAAGACTGTCTCAAGGCAAATCTTTAAAAATGTAGTATAAACACCGACAACTGGGAAACACTGGCCTGTGAGCGCTCCAGTTGGAGAACAGCCTTTACCAAAGGTGTCCTGGGCTTTGAAGACACTCGAACTCAGGACAAAAGGGAGAAACGTGCTAAGTGGAAGGCACACTTGGCAAACCCTCACTATGATCAACTCCCGCCCAGAAACCAACTGTGGAAGGACATGTGGGTCCAGAATTGGCCTCCACAGTCACTCACGGACTCACTGCTAAAACCCTGTTTTGGAAGACAATCTTACTCAGCTACGGGTGATTGCTAAACAAGAAGAAGACGCAAGTGACCTCTCTGTGGTGCACGTCTGGAGGTCCTGGGAGAGAGACTTCCATCCTGAGCAGCGCACCTGTGCATGTGCATTGCTCCTTGCGCGTGACCCCAATGCTCTCCCCACTGGAGTTTATGTCATCAAATCCACTCTAGACCCGCCCACCCTGCAAATCAGGCTCTGCTAGCAATTCCACTGGGAGTTGTCTCCAATTCATTTTCTTGATTTATCCCCCACATTCCTTCTCTAACTACGGAACTATCTGAGATGCCTTTTCTGGTACCCAGGGCTGTTCTGCATCCTTGCCTCACAGAGGAACACAGGTAGGGTCCATCTGGCACCAATAAGAAGTCTGGGCTTTCTCGATTTCTCAGAGCTGATGGGTGGCTGTTTGCGGAGAAGCCCAGGTGCGCAAGTTTGGCACTGCGAAAACGTGTCTCTGATACATGCCACCCTCCCGCTGCCCTTGTGGGGCTGGCTCCGTGGGGTGGGGTGGGGGCGAAGTGCCCTTCTCGTACCTGTGCACACAGTTGATGGCTTCCAGGTAGGCCATGGCTTTGCCGAGCTGCAAGGTGTAGAGGATGAGGGTCTGTACCTTCAGCGACGCCTTGTTCTGCTCCAGGTAGCGCCCCAGCTGCAGCAGGGAGAAGGAAGGGCGAGGGAGAGGAGAGTCACTTTCAAAATGTTCTTCCCTCGGAGAGCCCCCTCCCCAATCCCCCTTCCCCCTCATTTCAATAGTCCAGGGAGACAATAAACTTTACTGAAGAATTGGAACAGAACTGCAGGTGAGTTGAGGAGAAATAAACAAGGGGGATTTTGCCGTTTTTAGGGGCAGGGCTTGCTGAGAACAGGGCTAGATTCAGCTAAAGATAATAATGAAAATAAAACAGTGGTACCTCCGGTTGTGGGCGGGATCTGTTCCGGAGGCATAGCTGTCAACGTTTCCCTTTTTTAAAGGGAAATTCCCTTATTCCAAATAGGATTCCTCGCAAGAAAAGGGAAAAGTTGACAGCTATGTCCGGAGGTCCGGCTGGATCCCGAGGTTTTTGCAACCGGAGGTCTACTTCTGCACATGCAGCAAAACCTGGAAAAATACTTCTGGGTTTGCTGCTTTTGTAAACGGAGGTACTACTGTAATAATAATAATAATAATAATAAAAAGGTAAAGGTACCCCTGCCCGTATGGGCCAGTCTTGCCAGACTCTAGGGTTGTGCGCTCATCTCACTCTATAGGCCGGGAGCCAGTGCTGTCCGCAGACACTTCCGGGTCACGTGGCCAGCGTGACATCGCTGCTCTGGCAGGCCAGCGCAGCACACGGAACGCCGTTTACCTTCCCGCTAGTAAGCGGTCCCTATTTATCTACTTGCACCTGGGGGTGCTTTCGAACTGCTAGGTTGGCAGGCGCTGGGACCGAACGACAGGAGCGCACCCCGCCGCAGGGATTCGAACCGCCGACCTTTCGATCGGCAAGTCCTAGGTGCTGAGGCTTTAACCCACAGCGCCACCTGCGTCCCCCTAATAATAATAATAATAATAATAATTATAAAATTTATACCCCACTCATCTGGATGGGTTTCCCCAGCCACTCTGAGTGGCTCCCAACAGAATATTAAAAACACGATAAAGCAAACATTTAAAACTTCCCTAAACAGAGGTGCCTTCAGGTGTCTCCTATAAGTCAGATAGTTGTTTATTTCCTTGACATCTGCTGGGAGGGCGTTCCACAGGGCAGGTGCCACCACCGAGAAGGCCCTCTGCCTGGTTCCCTGTAACTTGGCTTCTCACAGTGAGGGAACCGCCAGAAGGCCCTCGGCGTTGGACCTCAGTGTCCGGGCAGAATGATGGGGGTGGAGACGCTCCTTCGGGTCTACTGGGCTGAGGACGTTTAGGGCTTTAAAGGTCAGCACCAACACTTTGAATTGTGCTCAGAAACATACTGGGAGCCAATGTAGGTCTTTCAGGACCAGTGTTATATAGTCTTGGTGGCCACTCCCAGTCACCAGTCTGGCTGCCGCATTCTGGATTAGTTGTAGTTTCCAGGTCACCTTTAAAGGTAGCCCCACGTAGATCCCGAGAGAAAGCTCCCTTGTAGCTAGACAGCCCATCAGACCACATCCTGCCCCACCAAATATCATGCGACTTTCTCTGATGCTCAGCAACCCCCTCACCCCTCTCGGCCAGCTGACTTACGGGTAACAGAGTTAACCCTTGAGTTACAAACTGAATGACCCCTGCTGCTGCACTTCCAACAATGCCCCACTTCCTGGGTCGGTCACACCTGCTTCCTCCTCGGCTCTGGGCTCTGTGCCTCTCACCTCTCCGTAAGGGTAGAGCTCCATCACAATCCAGGTGGGTTCCTCCTCAGTGATGCCAATGAGCTTCACAATGTGGGGGTGGTCCATTTTCTTCATCAGCACTGCGGATGCATTGAAGGTGCACTTAACATCATGCTCGCTCCATCAAAAAGAAACCTCGACCGACTCAAGGCCAGGGTACCCAAAGGATCACCTCTCCCTATATGGGGGAAGGGGCTTTTCAGCCCGAGTGAGGCCCACATTCCCTTCTAGGCAATCCTTGGAGGGGGGGGGCTAGTTACAGTGGGCTAGTTTCTGCAACCCACCCACTCCTTTCTATCAACCTTCCTTGGAGGTTTTTAAGCAGAGGTTGGAGGGATTCTTGAGCTGTGATTCCTACAATTCAGAGGGTTGGACTAGATGACCCTTGGGACCCACCACTTTCCATGTGAGACCTTCCACTGTCAAACAGCTCTCACCGTCAGAAAGTTATTCCTGATATTTAGGAATCTCTTTTCTTGCCAGTTGAATTTACTCGAGCTGCAGAGAACAAGCTTGCTCCATCTTATGTGATATTCGGAGCAGACTCTCAATAATAATAATAATAATAATAATAATAATAATAATAATAATAATATAATATATTTATACCCCACCCATCTGGTTGGGTTTCCCCAGCCACTCTGGGCGGCTTCCAACAAAACACTAAAATACAATAACTTATTAAACCTTAAAAGCTTCCCTAAACAGGGCTGCCTTCAGATGTCTTCTAAAAGTTTGGTAGTTATTTTTCTCTTTGACATCTGGTGGGAGGGCGTTCCACAGGGCGGGTGCCACCACTGAGAAGGCCCTCTGCCTGGTTCCCTGTAACTTGGCTTCTCATAGTGAGGGAACCGCCAGAAGGCCCTCGGCGCTGGACCTCAGTGTCCGGGCAGAACGATGGAGGTGGAGACGCTCCTTCAGCTATACTGGACTCTTATCCAAGCTAAATGCCCCCAGATCCCTCAGCCATTCCTCATACAGCTTGGCTCCCCAAACCCTTGATCTTGGTTGCCCTCCTCTGCACACCTTCCACCTGTCCCCTAGTGGGTGCCTGCCTCCCTGCCTGCGTTCGTACCTGCTTCGCTCATGAACTTCTCCTTGTTCTCAGCTGTACAGTCCTTCTTGCAGGTCTTGACGGCCACGCTGACCCGGTCTCCGCTCTGGAACGAGAGGCAGACTCAAAGCTCGGCTGAAGCTAAGCAGGGCAGACAACAGGGTTTGCTGGCTGACTTAAATCCAGCCAAATGCATGGGAGCTGGAAACCAGGAATGCCCATCCTTGCAGAGGGGAGGGGGGCAAATCTCTGCATATATAAGAAGATCCCTCCTGGGTCAAAGCAAAGACCCATCTAACACAGCATTCTGGATTTCCACAGTGCCCAGCTAAATGCTTGAAGGAAGCCCACAAGCAGGGCAGGGAATAAACAGTGCCTCCTCGCAACCCAATATTAAGAGATAGACTCCCCCTGAACATGGAAGTTCCATTGAGCCTGCTTTGCCCAAAGGCATAGCAGGGGAACTTTCCGCACAACGCAAACATTCTTTGGGGAGTAATCCCTATTCTTAAAGGTGGGCAGGAACACCCACCTTTCAATCACCTTTCTAATGACATCAGGTGGTTTAAGGAGGCAGAGGCTTGCCTCCCATCTTAGCGCTGATCAGAGATACGCCCCTACTTGCTCTTGGATAGTAAAAGGCACAAAGACAGGATTATCTCTAAAATCAGTGCTGCAGTTCCACAGCACTAAGATCGGACGCATGAATAAGGCTTCCTGCTCTTTCAGTTTATGGCTAGAGAGCAGGCAGAGTCTCACCTCTTGATCTTAGCTCTAAGCGTCACAGCGCCGTCTCCAGTCTTAGCGCTGTGGCATTGGCTGTGAAGATTGAAGATTAAGACATCTCTGTGCACCTGATTTCAGGTGATTTACAATTGGACACAGTTTGCCCAAAAAGGGCTGGCGAGCCAAATTCAGAGGCTTAGCAAGCCTAGGTAGGCCTGTGGCCTGGAAGATCACCAGTGATGGTATATTTTATAGAAGCCTGCTGCTCTCAAAGTCCTGGGATAGTTGACCATGTAGAGCATGAGACTCTTAATCTCAAGGTTGTGGGTTTGAATCCCACCTTGGGCAAAGGATCGTTACATTGCAGGGGGTTGGACTAGGTGACCCCTGTGGTCCCTTCCATGATTCTATGATGGCTCACCTCATTGGTGTAAATGCCCTCGTAGACCTCGCCGAAGAAACCCTCCCCTAGGATCCGGCCCAGGACGACATCTTCCCGGGAGATCACGAACTGTTGAGCTGTGCAAGAGAAAGCGTCAACAACACACTGGTTTTAAACGAAGGATAAAGCACAGCTTCCATCTGTATAGACCAGAAAGGGGGGGGGGAGGAGAGATTGTTTTGTCTGCCAGCAACTGCCAGCTCAATAGGGGGTATAGGCAGTAGATTGGTGGCAGTGTGCAGTGGTTAAAGGGCCAAGCTTCTGCTGCAGAAAAAAATGCTCTACCCAGATCTCAGCTCTGTAACGCCACAAACTCACTAGATTGGGCTTATGCAAATCACTCTCTTTCAAAACCTTAACTGCCCACTTGCAATTTGGCAATAATCATACTGGCCAACCTCACAGGTGTGGGAATGTTCAGGGATGCAGGAGAGGATATATTGTTCGATTATAGCCTTTCCAACTTGTGTTAATAATAAGAAGTTAACAAGTTCACAATTTAGCAGAGTAACATTCCCCTTTTTAAATTCGCAGCGGATGCGTTTGCTCAGGCTCGCTAAAGCCTCTATAATAACTGCTCTGGTATTTCCCCCTTATTCCCTCATAAAAGATAAGACACGACACAGTCTTCTATAAAAGTATTCAAAGAGTTTACTCACATATCATTCTGTTCACAATTGGATCTCAGAAGGCAGACTTAGCTTAGAAAAGTAACATACACCTGGAAACTATCTCATAAGGAGACAGTCCCTTTGTCCTCTCTTGGTTGGAATCCAAGAGAGCATCTTTGGCTAAGCAGATGTTGCTTCTTCAATGCATGTAGTCAAAGAGAGAGAGATGGCTGCCCTGCCCTGTGCATTTGTTGTTCCCTGCACAGGTGAGGCCACACCCACCTCCAGTCACATGCAGAGGAAGTCTGTCCCAGTCCAGAAGGAAACAGGAAGTTTACCTGCTGGCTGGACAAACATTCCTCCCCATGTGTAAACATGTTCACTCTAGGAATGTTGTACTTGACTGCTCTTGTGTATCACATCCCATAGCAGGGTCGTTGCAAAGCACCACCACCAATATGTAGTGCAAACGGCCATTACTGCCATCTCCCCTGTGTGTCAGTGTGGCCTGGTGTGGTAATAGTAAAAGTGTCAAACGAGGACTTGGGAGACAATCGACACTTAGCCATGAAGCTCACTGTGCATCCTTGGCCCAGTCACTGTGTCTCAGCCTAACTTACCTCACAGGGTTGTTGTGGAGGTTAAATGAGGAGAGGGCGAGCCAAATATGCCACAACTTAAATCTTGGGGGGGGGGGGGGAGAGGTGGAATGTAAATGTAATGAAGGAATACATAAAGACATGTTTAGCTCCAGTTGCCAGATGTGTGTTTCTGTGTAGCCATAGTGGACTCGGAACTCAGCAACCTGAAAATCCCGGCTTCTTTGAGCTCAGAAGTAGACTCTGCACTAAGTTTTTGCACGGCTTTCTGCATTTAGCCTAAAGGTAAAGGTACCCCTGACCATTAGGTCCAGTCGTTACCGACTCTGGGGTTGCGGCGCTCATCTCGCTTTATTGGCCGAGGGAGCCGGCATACAGCTTCCGGGTCATGTGGCCAGCATGACTGAGCCACTTCTGGCGAACCAGAGCAGCACACGGAAATGCTGTTTACCTTCCTGCCGGAGCGGTACCTATTTATCTACTTGCACTTTGACATGCTTTTGAACTGCTAGGTTGGCAGGAGCTGAGACAGAGCTACGGGAGCTCACCCCATCATGGGGATTCAAACTGCCGACCTTCTGATTGGCAAGTCCTAGGCTCTGTGGTTTAATCCACATCGCCACCTGCATCCTAGCAATGGAAATTCCCTACTGGGAATGCCCCTGCCCTTCCCAGTCCCCACGGTATAGAAATTGTTCCTGTGAGAAGCCACTAAAATTCATTGAAAGCTTTGCATCTAACATTGTGATATAGCCTCTTCTTGTGATATTGCCTCTTGTGATATTGTGATATAGCTTCTTACACAGGTAGAGATCAGGGGTTGCCAACATGCTTCCCTCTCTATGCTGTCGAACTCCTTCTCCCATCAGCCAAAGCAGCAGGCCTGGCCAATGGCCAGGTGCAATAGAAACTGCAGTCCTCAAACATCTGGAGGGCACCCCCTTAGCTACCCCTGGAATGGATGATGGAGCCAATCAACCTCTCTTGTACCTCAATTCATTCCTAAGAGGACCGAATTAATTCGCAAGTGGTCCAGAAGTTGCACCTACCTCCAGATTTCGGCCGGGATGCTTCATCTGGAATTTCGGCATAAATATCAGAATCTGGAACAAAGCAGCCCATTTTTATTGTTATGCTGTTTTAATGGGGGCGGGTTTTAATCGTGGATGGTTTGAATATTATTCCACTGTGTATTTTAATTACACATTGATATAAAACTGGAGGCAGGCCGGAAACCGAGGGCATACCCAAAACCACCTGCCCCTCAAGAACACACCCAAAGAGTTGTGTTATTTTTATCTTTTGTTTGTAAGCCGCTTTGGGATTTATTTGAATAAAAAGTGGAATAGAAATAGGAAAACAAAACAGAAAAGTTGAAGGAGGCGAGAGAGAGAGGCATCATCTCTGACGTGTACATGGGTTTTTCTGCCCTCGTTATTGCCTCTAGCCAAACAAGATCTGGCAAGAATTTGTGATGCTTTATAAACCTGTGCAACCTATTGGGTCAGAGGTGGAAGAAGGACAACAGGATTTGGGTGGGCACAAATTATGCTTCCGTAATTCCACCGACTCTCTGAAAAAGTGCTCCTCCAGTGGCTTCAGATGGATCGAAGCTGCTCTCTCTGGCTCGGCTTGCAATTCATTTTATTTTTTCCTGAAGCAGATAGTCCTCATGGATCGGATGGCAGGAAGACAGGATTCAACTCACCCCCACTGAAGCTCTCTCTCAGCATGGACCTCCTCTCCTCTATGTGCCTGAGGGTAGAAAGAGTCTCCGGTGAATGATATATTATAATAATAATAATAATAATTTATTATTTATACCCCGCCCACCTGGACAGGAGTGCATGGCATGTTCTCGTCCATGGGGTCACAAAGAGTCAGACACGACCATAGCTGTCAACCTTCCCTTTTTTTGTGAGAAATTCCCTTATTCCAGCGCCGTTTCCCGCTGCTTCCAGCTACTATCCCGGATTGTTAGATATTCCGTAGACAGTCCCCGGGACAGGTGAGGCTGCTGATCCCTTATTTTCGAATCTGAAAGTTGACAGCTATGGACACGACTAAACAACAACAACAAACAGATGGGCTTCTCTGCCTGTCTGGTGTCAAGATGCACGCCCGACAACTTTGGGGTTCCCCCCCCCAAAAAAGGGCAAGAACTCTGGGCAACCCTTTCCTAAAATAATAAAGCATGAAATTAAACAAAAGTAAAAGTAAAGAGAAAAAGAAAATGTCTCTGGATTCCTTGAAAAAAATCTGGTAACTATGGGTTAGAGGGATTCATACTTACTGTACTGGGACCTGGGGCAGGCTGGTCCTCTTATCATTCTCTGTGGAAAAAGAAGATGGAAAGGAACATCAACAGAGCACACCACAGCTGTCAACTTTTCCCTTTTCTTGTTAGGAATCCTATTTGGAATAAGGGAATTTCCCTTAAAAAAAGGGAAACATTGACAGCTATGGAGCACATAGAATCATAGAATCATAGAGTTGGAAGAGACCACAAGGGCCATCGAGTCCAACCCCCTGCCAAGCAGGAAACACCATCAGAGCACTCCTGACATGTGGTTGTCAAGCCTCTGCTTAAAGACCTCCAAAGAAGGAGACTCCACCACACTCCTTGGCAGCAAATTCCACTGTCGAACAGCTCTTACTGTCAGGAAGTTCTTCCTAATGTTTAGGTGGAATCTTCTTTCTTGTAGTTTGGATCCATTGCTCCGTGTCCGCTTCTCTGGAGCAGCAGAAAACAGCCTTTCTCCCTCCTCTATGTGACATCCTTTTATATATTTGAACATGGCTAAACATGGCCAGCTCCCTTAGCCGTTCCTCATAAGGCATCGTTTCCAGGCCTTTGACCATTTTGGTTGCCCTCCTCTGGACACGTTCCAGTTTGTCAGTGTCCTTCTTGAACTGTGGTGCCCAGAACTGGACACAGTACTCCAGGTGAGGTCTGACCAGATGCGAAACTCAAAGCTTGGACTCAGCTTCCCCATCTCGCTACTGCTGACAGATGGGTTCGCTTGCTTCTTTTCTTGCCTCCAAATCACCAGGGACTAGTAGATTTCCCTTATTCCATCCCATTCTTCGCCCAGGTGTTTGTTTGCTCGGTCCCATTATCCTCCCCACCGAACAAACACGAGGCATCTCTAATCTGGATTCTGGAACAGTCAATTGCACCCCCTCCTAGGAGCATTCATGGCCTGACAATGCCAGCCCACCTTCTTACTGATATAGAATCGTAGTGTTGGAAGGGACCCCGAGGGTCATCTAGTCCAACCCCCTCTAAGGCAGAAATCACAGCTCAAGAATCCATGGCAGATGGCCACCCAACCTCTGCTTAAAAACCTTCTAGGAAGGAGAGTCCACCACTTCTGGTGGGAGACTGTTCCACTGCTGAAGAAGCTCCTACTGTCAGAAAGTTCTTCCTGATGTATAGTCAGAATCTCCATTGTTGTCACTGGAAGCCATGGGTTCGAGTCCTACCCTCCAGAGCAGCAGAAAACAAGCTTGCTCCCTCTTCCAGAGAGCCAGTGTGGTGTAGTGGTTAAGAGCGGTAGTCTCATAATCTGGGGAACCAGGTTCGCGTCTCCGCTCCTCCACCTGCAGCTGCTGGGTGACCTTGGGCCAGTCACACTTCTTTGAAGTCTCTCAGCCCCACTCACCTCACAGAGTGTTTGTTGTGGGGGAGGAAGGGAAAGGAGAATGTGAGCCGCTTTGAGACTCCTTAAAGGGAGTGAAAGGCGGGATATCAAATCCAAACTCCTCTTCTTCTTCTTCTTCTTCTTCTTCTTCTTCTTCTTCTTCCTCCTCCTCCTCCTCCACGTGACAGCTCTTAAGCTTTGTGAAGATGGCTCTCCTATCTCCTCTCAGTCTCCTCTTTTCCAGGCTAAAAATACCCAGCTCCTTCAACCGTTCCTCATATGGCTTGGTTTCCAGACCCCTGATCATCTCAGTTGCCTTCCTCTGCACATGTTCCATGAGGGACCATGAGCATTGATGAAACACAGTGTGCACTTGCCCATTATCTGATAAAGCCACTTCCGCCCTTCTGAGGAGGTGGAATTGCAGGCTTCACGACCCCACCATGCAAAAAGCGGCTGGAGCCCAGCCCCCGCGCGATTGGGGGAATCCCCGGCCGCGTCACCCCTTGGCCAGCCAATTGGCTGGCTCTGGGGGCATGGCCTGCCCTATTTAAGGCAGGACGCGGCCGGGGATCTCCCTCTTTTCCCACCTGCCAGCTGTTCCTGCTTTTCCCGCCCTATAAGGTTGTCGTTCCTTGACCTTGCTATGGACCTCGGTTGGTCGCCATTGAGGGGCCTGGTAGGAATTTTCCCACTTGGCAAATTGGCACCAGCCACTTGGTTTCCGCCTACCTCGTAGCAAATCGTCACAACTTTCTGGGTATTGGCGGTTAGGCATTGGTATTGTTCTGTAGTTGGAAGAGGGGAGGTAGCGCCATCACCTGCCCCACATATTGAAGCGTAGTCCAGTAAAGGATTCTGGGGGCATGGCCCTGTCCGAAGCCTAGGGAGGTGAGGGCCTAAGGCACGCCCCCTAGCGGTGGCCCCGGAGGAGTTCCTAGTTGATGTGCATCAGCAGGACTCCCCCTACTGGTGGTTAACCCTTACTGGACTTCAAGAGGACGTGCTGAAGTTGGATATAGTCGGTTAGGACCAATGCCTAAGCCAATACCGCTCATCACTTGTAACCAATAAAGTTGTGGCCTTGTTTAGCCCATTAACCTTCATAATTGTGTCACGTGTCATTATTTCCACTGGGGGGAGGACGGGACTCGCCACGCAATTACAAACAAAGGCATCAAGTCCCCCTTTTCGATCTTTTCATATGAACCTAAGAAGAATGTGCCGGATCAGGCCATGGCCTATCTTGGACCATCATCCTGTTCTCACAGTGGCCAACCAGATGCCCGAAAGGAAAAGCTGGATTTGAGCCCAATAATTTCCCCTCCTCCCTGTGGTTTCCAGCAACTGGTATTCAGTAGCCTCCAACTGTGGAACCAAAGTAGAGCCATCTTGGTTAACAACATCCAGCCATAGTCCCCTCCTCCTCCATGAATTTATCTAAAGCGTGTTCTCCATAACAGAGAGCACGTGTTGCGGTGGGGGCCTAAAGACCACCCCACTGTTGTTTGGCTAATATTTGGCCAGGAGCTGTGACTGGGCAAAAGTGTGTTTCTGGGGAGTTTGTTATGTTGCAAACTGGTGGGAGGGGTCAGAGGGCTTAAATACAGGGGCTTTCTCTTGGGCTGCATGCACTGGATCACCCGCCCACCCTACCTGAAAAGGGGGGGGGGTTCATTGTCCTCTGGCCTTGCTATGCCTGTCATGGGGTTGTCTGCTTTGAGGCAGGGGCCTGGTAGGAATTTGTCCATTTGACTGATTGGCTGGTGCCATTTGGTTTTTGCCTACTGCGTAGCAAATCGTCACAACTTGTAAGGTTGGCGGTTAGGCATTGGTTAAAATTGGTTGGTGGAGGGGTAAGTGCCTACCCCTCAAATGGTGGTGCGGAAAGGGAATCCAGGGGCTTGCCATTCTTATCGTCCTTGTCCCTGGCATCGGACTTGGGCCATGCAAGCCCCACAGGAACATGAGGGTGAGAAGTGAGGGACTGATGCCCAGCTTCATTTCTCCCCAATATTGTTTTCCCTGACTGGCTTCCGCTGGAACCCGGAAGTCAGTTGTGTCCCTGGGGCAAGGACAGATAGTCGTAACCAATGCCTAAGCAACCACTCACGTGTGCGTATTTAAATAAAGTTGTGGCCAAATCCATGCCAAAAACCTTAAACCCAAATTGATGTGTGTGGTGTGAGTTATTGGGGTGGCTCGGGGACCTTGATGCGCAATCCTCTTTTAAAGCTATCTATGTTGTTGGCCATCACTGCCTCCGGTGGCAGGGAGTTCCATAGTCTAACTACATGCTTCCTGAAGCAGGGCTTCCTTTGATCTGTCCTGAATCTTTGAACATTCAGCTTCACTGAATATTCATGAGTTTTTGTGTTATGAGGAAGGAGGGCAAGATTGTCTGCTTTCTCCACGCCACGCTCAATTTTATAAACTTCTACCGCGTCGCCTCTTTCTTGCCTTTCCTCTAAGTTAAAAAGTCCCAAATGCTGCAACCTTTCTTCATAGGGGAGTCACTGCTGGCTGCACGTTCACTGAAGGTTTATTTATTTAGGGGATTTATCGACCGCCCTCCAGCACTTCCTCCCAGGAGGGCAGGCAGGTATAAGAACAAAGCAATACAATAAAATTCAGCAGGGTCTCCGCTGAGTAAACCAGCTGGACCACAAGGCAGCAATCAAAGCCGGCTGTGTGCGATGTTGGAATATCTGGGCAGATAAAAAGGGAGCTTATCGAGCAGGAATTGTTCGTCCAACATTTTTGCAACGACACTGCCATCTGGCGGTTGCTATCCTGCGCTTTCCAGTGCAAATTTATTTTCTCATAGGACGTTTGGGTTCACTAGATGGTGACATTGTCTAGCCTGTCAAGTGCAAATTTTGTGCAAACAAACCCAGATCAGGGCTGCACCTGGAGGCAAGCACAGGTCATCTGGAAATCCGCTCCACTTACCTGCGGGGAGGAGTTGCGGTGGACTGCGTGGCCACCACCTCTCCTCCGGGGGCGGGGGGCAAAGTCCCCCATCGCCCAGGGGATCCCGGCCATGTCCAGCCAATCTGGTGGCTGGGGGGCGTGGCCGGGAACAATTTAAACACTGGCATGAGCTGGACATCTTCCTCTTGGCTTGCTGCTATAAACTAATCCAATACCGCTCACAGTCTGTAATCAATAAAGTTGTGGCCAAAATTTGCCCAGTAATATTAACATAATGATCACTGCAGATGGTGACAGCAGCCACGAAATTAAAAGACGCCTGCTTCTTGGGAGAAGGGCAATGACAGACCTAGACAGCATCTTGAGAAGTAGAGATGTCACCTTGCCAACAAAGGTCCGTATAGTTAAAGCCATGGTTTTCCCAGTAGTGATGTATGGAAGTGAGAGCTGGACCACAAAGAAGGCTGATCGCTGAAGAATTGATGCTTTTGAATTATGGTGCTGGAGGAGACTCTTGAGAGTCCCATGGACTGCAAGAAGATCAAACACATCCATTCTTAAGGAAATCAGCCCTGAGTGCTCACTGGAAGGACAGATCGTGAAGCTGAGGCTCCAGCACTTTGGCCACCTCATGAGAAGAGAAGACTCCCTGGAGAAGACACTGATGCTGGGAAAGATGGAGGGCGCAAGGAGAAGGGGGCAACAGAGGATGAGATGGTTGGATAGTGTTTTCCAGGTTAGCAGCATGAGTTTGACCAAACTGCGGGAGGTAGTGGAGGACAGAGGTGCCTGGCGTGCTCTGGTCCATGGGGTCACGAAGAGTCGGACACGACTAAACGACTAAACAACAACAACAATATTAATATAATATCTGTGTCCTGGTGTCTTATTCTTTGTGAGGGGGTGGTTGCGGGGTCTTGACAAGCAACTAGAAACATCTCAGAGCGGGCACTGGGCAAGCTTGGCTGGCAAGGGTGTTCCACCCACTAGGTGTCACAGCCAAGAAGACTCCGTCTCCACACACACACACACACACACACACACACACTGCCCAACCTCAGATGGTGCTGGGACCTGGAGAAGGGTCTCGGATGAAGGTGGTAAGGCTTGGCCAGGCTCAAGGAGTTGCTTTCTCACCTCTGTTGGGACGGACGATGAGAGAGGTGTCCAAACCCCCCTGCAGCCTGCAGTAGCCATCGATCAAGTCCGCCATGTTCTCCGCCTCGGCAAGAGAGGCTGTTTTGATCGCCAAGGACTGCAATGCAAAAAAAGGGAGAGGGTGTCTGTTTGTCAGCCTGGGGGAGAAGACTAAAGAGTCCAAGGACTGTGGCTAGAGTTTTCTAGATCAGTGCCAGCACCAGGCATGGTTTATAATCAGGAATTATGGGAGTTTTACACCAGCAACTGATTGCCCATCTCAATCTCTCTCCTTGAACAGAGAGAGGTAGATAAGGACACATTTGCCCACGTTGTCGTCCTCACTTTCTCATCCTTCCATTTTTGTTGTCAATAATAATAATAATAATAATAATAATAATAATTTATTATTTATACCCCGCCCATCTGGCTGGGTTTCCTCAGCCACTCTGGGTGGCTTCCAACAAAACAATAAAATACAATAACCTATTAAACATTAAAAGCTTCCCTAAACAGGTCTGCCTTCAGATGTCTTCTAAAAGTTTGGTAGTTGTTGTTCTCTTTGACATCTGGTGGGAGGGCGTTCCACAGGGCGGGTGCCACCACCGAGAAGGCCCTCTGCCTGGTTCCCTGTAACTTGGCTTCTCGCAGCGAGGGAACCGCCAGAAGGCCCTCGGCGCTGGACCTCAGTGAACGGGCAGAATACATTTGTCGTGCCACATTTCCACAACAGTTTTAAATGTTTGATGTTTTATTGTGCTTTGAATTCTGTTGGGAGCCACCCAGAGTGGCTGGGGAATAAATGAATAATAATAATAATAATAATAATAATAATAATAATAATAGTCCTACAAAAGTCACCAGTAGTATTTCAGTGCCCATTTCTCCAGTTTCACCAGCACGTTTGCCAAATACATTTCCCCCCACCCCCACAAGCCATTTCCCCATATATAATGAATTTCCGCATTATTTCCCCAATGCCTCCTCCTTCCTTCTTACCTGGGGGTTCCCCGTCAGTCCCAGCTGCAAGAGAGCTTTTCCTTCCTCTGCGGCTGAACACTTTATGGATTTGATGTGCTTGAACTCGGCCAGGCAGGTGGGCTGCAGTGAGTCATAAACAAACAAAGGGGTTTTCATTTGCAACAGCGATCAATGAAGTCTGGGTGGGTGGGCGCTGTGCAAAGGATGAGCGTGGCAGAACATCAGCACCCTGACTCATGCCCACCCATCCTCAATTCTAAATCCTGCAGATGAAAATTTACTGTGCGTCCTACATAGGTCTACAAAGTCCTGCTGCATTCACAGGTGCTTACTCCCAGGTAAAAGTGGGCGCAGTATGATAGCCTGAGACTCTGCCGTGAAGCCCCCAAAATCAACCCACACAGCGTACTTGACAATGTGTTTTGCTCGCTAGCTCTTTCCTCTGGCAGAAGCCAAGCTGCTGGGTCAAATGCAGAGGTTGTATCTGACTAAGGCACGCTCAGAGAAGACTCATTCAAATCGGTTTTTAACTTAAGGTAAGAGGGGACGCGAGTGGCGCTGTGGGTTAAACCACAGAGCCTAGGGCTTGCCGATCAGAAGGTCGCTGGTTTGAATCCCCGCGACGCGGTGAGCTCCCGTTGTTCGGTCCCTGCTCCTGCCAACCCAGCAGTTCGAAATCACGTCAAAGTGCAAGTAGATAAATAGGTACCACTCTGGCGGGAAGGTAAACGGCGTTTCCGTGCGCTGCTCTGGTTCGCCAGAAGCGGCTTAGTCATGCTGGCCACATGACCCGGAAGCTGTACGCCGGCTCCCTTGGCCAGTAAAGCGAGATGAGCACTGCAACCCCAGAGTCAGACACGACTGGACCTAATGGTCAGGGGTCCCTTTACCTTTTTAAGAGGTCAAGGACCCCTGGACGGTTACGTCCAGTCAAAGGCGGCTATGGGGTTGCGGCGCTCATCTCGCTTTCAGGTCGAGGGAGCTGGCGTTTGACCACAGACAGCTTTCCGGGTCCTGTGGCCAGCATGATTGAACTGCTTCTGGCATAACAGAACACTGACGGAAACCAGAGCGCACAGAAACACCGTTTACCTTCCCACCGGAGCGACACCTATTTATCTACTTGCACTTTGATGTGCTTTCGAACTGCTAGGTTGGCAGGAGCAGGGACGGAGCAACGGGAGCTCACCCCGTCGCAGGGATTCGAACCGTCACCCTTCTGATCAGCAAGCGCAAGAGGCTCAGTGGTTTAGACCACAGCGCCACCCGCATTGACTAAGGCATGCTCAGAGAAGACTCATTCAAATCAGTTAATAACTTAACATCTGTTGATTTCAACAGGGGATGAATTAGGGGTGCCTTTGCAAGACCTGAGCTCCTGTCAGGTAAATAAGGCAGGCTTTCCACATCTGTGCTGCTGGAGGCGAGTCACATATAGCATGCGTTCTTTTTACTTTCTTTTCTTTTCTTCTTTTCTTTCTTTCATTTAATTCCCATCATCCCTAGCTAACAGGACCAGTGGTCAGGCATGATGGGAATTGTAGTCCCAAAACATCTGGAGGCCGAGTTTGCCTATGCCAGATTTATAGCATGCATTCTGACTCTCACGGAGCCAGGCCACAAAGCAAAACCACAAAGAGGCATCACACAGGGATATTGAAGAGTGCGTGAAAACGCCTTTTCCTCGGCGCATTTATGGAAGAAGAAGAGTTTGGATTTGACATCCCGCTTTCACTCCCTTAAGGAGTCTCAAAGCAGCTAACATTCTCCTTTCCCTTCCTCCCCCACAACAAACACTCCGTGAGGTGAGTAGGGCTGAGAGACTTCAGAGAAGTGTGACTGGCCCAAGGTAACCCAGCAGCTGCATGTGGAGGAGCGGGGAATCAAACCCAGTTCCCCAGATTACGAGTCCACCGCTCTTAACCACTACACCACACTGGCTCACGAATGCCTTACCTTTGCTTCTTTGCTGGTCATTTGCCGGATGCCCTTTTGGCCCGATCACCAGGTCTACTGTGATGCTCCATCCTTGCTGGAAAAGGGGAAAAGAGAGGGAAAGTCATTTTGGGGTGCTCTCCTGATGCTCACGAACTCTGGTCAAGTGTCCCGCATTGATAAGGAAATGGAATTTGGGCTCAGACTCCCATAATTCCCTTCGGCAGTTCTGTTAGGTTTAGGAGTTTCAGAAATCCAGGACATTAACGATCGGTTTTTGCATGTGAATTCTTCACATTATTTTTTTGTAAACACATTTATAACAAAAGTAAAAAAGAAAGGAAATAAGCTGGTAACCACAGTACAAAAACAAGGTAAGTTCACCATCATGAGACTAGTCCGAAAAACAATATTTTTTGTAATTTTAAGTTGTCATACCCTAGTTACAGGTAGGTAGCCGTATTGGTCTGCCGAAGTCAAAACAAAATAAAAAATTCCTTCCAGTAACACCTTAGAGAAGTTTAGCTGGTCTCTAAGGTGCTGCTATGGGACGCGGGTGGCGCTGTGGGTTAAACCACAGAGCCTAGGAGTTGCCGATCCAACTGCACTGATGCAATGAGCAAATGTGATTTGAGACATGTTATGTACTGAGTTGAATAGGATTCAAAATGCAGCAGTCTGATTGGTCCTAGAACAATAGGACCCAGAATGCAGCAGTCTGATTGGTCCACAGGAGCCACCCAATCCAGCTCCAGGTGGAAGTGAATCCGCAACCTGATTGGCCTACAGGAGAATCCTGGAATTAGCCAATCACGTGGGGCCCATTGTGTAAGTAATGTATTTAAAGCAGACATTCTGGGGGAACTTCCATTCCTCCTCACCACTATGAGCTGAACAAAGAGTATGAAATCCACACTCGACTCCAAATATATTTCAAGACACATGGGGAGAAAACAACCTCGCTACGTTTTTAGGTCGGCAATGTGTGCACAGACAGAGCCATAGTCCGGCTTGAAGGAAGGTTGGAAGAGGCAACTGGACACTCACAATCAGGTCGCAGCGGTAGCTCTCCTGGTCAATGTTGGCGATGGTGGACAGAGTGCTGAGGAACTTCAAGATGCACTCGTCTTCCCGCAGGAGTGCGTACTGCTGGAAAGTCTGTTGGATCATCTTGCGGAACTGCTTGGGCTGCGGGGAGGAAAGCAGAGGAGGAGAACGGTTTGTTGTTTTTTGGTTAAATCGTTTTTATTAATTTCCCAATAAAAAACATCCAATATCACATCATAATCCAATAAAAACAAAAAACTAAAATAATAAAAATTCATTATATGATTTCTGACATGACTGAGAACCGCAGAGCCAGTGACAAAGAAGTTTAGAGTGTTAAAATCGAGATGGAAATAACGACGAGAGGCAGGATTGAGATTTGGAGATATGTGTCAAGGTCCAGAGTATGGGAAGTCCCAAAAATTAATATCTACAATTTAGAACGGTTTGTTGTTTTGATAAATATTTTTCTTTTTCAGGATCTCTGCACCAGTTTGTTCCACGGTTTCTAAGCAGCCTACAATCCAGTTGCAAAGGAGATACAGGAAAGGTGAAGCCTGTTAAAATGAACCGTGAAATCTTCTAATTTTCCTAAGTCTAAGAAACGGCACTAACAGAGGACAGGGGATTAATGTGTTGCTTCTTAGCCTGCCAGAGCCTGTTTGTCAAACTGGAGAGAAAAAGGGACCCCTGGCAAATGCCAAAGTGGTCCTTCAGCTCTTCTATATGGACAACAGGCCAAACCTTACGCCAAAGAATAAAACGGACATGACCTCTAAAGCCCTTTGTGGCTTAGGGCCCTCGTATTTATGGGACCATCTCTCCTCGTCTGCCCCACAGAGGACCTTAAGGTCCATGAACAACCATAATTTAGAGGTCCCGGGCCCTAAGGAAGTCAGATTATCCTCCACCAGGGCCAGGGCCTTCTCAGTGGTGGCTCCCACCTGGTGGAATGCTCTGTCCCATGAGACTAGGGTCCTGCAGGATTTAACCTCCTTCCGCAGGGCCTGTAAGACAGAAGCTCTTCCACCCAGCTTTCAATTTGAATTCAGCCTGATCTTTTATTCCCCTTCCTTCCCTCCCCCTCCCCTTTTTATGAAGATTATCCGCTCTGAGACCCCACAGCTAATTCTCCCCTGGTCTCCTCGCTGGCCCAAGTAGGACTAATTCAGCCAGCTAGCCCTGGGGATCATCTAATGTTTATTGGATGGCTTTCCCCCCTAAACTGATTTTTGAACTTTGCATTTTATTGTTATTCATGTTTTTATACTGTATTTTATGCTGCTTTTACAATTAAGTGTTTTAAATTTGTTGCTAGCCGCCCTGAGCCCAGTTTTTAAACTGGGAAGTGCAGGTTTTTAATCACGTACTGGAGTAATAACAGTTACAGATAGGTAGCCGTGTTGGTCTGCCATAGTCAAAACAAAAAAAATTCCTTCCAGTAGCACCTTAAAGACCAACTAAGTTAGTTCTTGGTATGAGCTTTCGTGTGCATGCACACTTCTTCAGATACACTGAAACAGAAGTTGCCAGATCCTTCTATATAGTGAGAAGGTGGGGAGGGGTATTACTCAGAAGGGTGGTGGGAATGGGTGATTGGCAGATAGCTGTGATGAGCCTGTTGACGACTCTTAACGACTGCAAATGCCAACAGTGTCCTTCAGCTCTCTATATTGGACAAACAGGCCAAACCTTACGCCAAAGAATAAACGGACATAAATCTGACATCAAGAATCACAAGACAGAGAAACCAGTAGGAGAACACTTCAATCTCCCAGGACATTCTATACAAGATCTCAAAGTAGCTGTTTTACTACAAAGGAATTTCAGAAATAGACTGGAAAGAGAAGCTGCTGAATTGCAACTCATTACCAAACTTAAAACCATGGAGAGACCTGGTCTGAACAAAGACATTGGATTCTTATCTCATTATACATGACAAAGCCATTTTTCACCTTCTCACCCCTTGCTTTTTCCTGTAAGACCTATTGCAGTCGTTAAGAGTCGTCAACAGGCTCATCACAGCTATCTGCCAATCACCCATTCCCACCACCCTTCTGAGTAATACCCCTCCCCACCTTCTCACTATATAGAAGGATCTGGCAACTTCTGTTTCAGTGTATCTGAAGAAGTGTGCATGCACACGAAAGCTCATACCAAGAACTAACTTAGTTGGTCTTTAAGGTGCTACTGGAAGGAATTTTTTTTGTTTTGGAGTAATAACGTACAGGATAATGTAAGCCCGTTTGCATGACCCAGAACCATGCGATATTCATTTATTATTTTTGACATTGGTATGGAAATCTGTTCCTATACATTCAGTTCTAGATAGGACTTTGCACTTTTGTTGTATTTGGCATCTGTTACTATACTTTTGTTATGCTATAAATAAATACAGTCATACCTCTTGTTACGGTTGCTTCATGTTACTTTTTCAGGTTGCGTCCCGCAGCGACACGGAAGTACCAGAAAGGGTTACTTCCGGGTTTTGCCACTTGCGCATGCGCACAAAATGACATCATGCACATGCACAGTAGCAGCGAATCACGACCTGTGCATGCGCAGATGCACAGACACGGGTTGTGTTCCTTTCATGTTGTGAACGGGGCTCCGGAACAGATCCCGTTCGCAACCAGAGGTACCACTGTACATGTTTTTAAAAAATATCAAACCAACCGTAAATTCAGAAAATTGGAACAAGCCTGCCGAAATGAAAAGGTCTTCCTCATTGGGTACCAGATGTTCAACAGGGAGGGGGCCCGTCTGATCCCAAATGGGGGGGAGTTCCACAGAATTGAGCCTACAAGACTGAACGCATGGCTTCTGCTGGACACATAGAGACCACTAGCAGGTAAAGGTAAAGGGACCCCTGACCATTAGGTCCAGTCGCGGACGACTCTGGGGTTGCGGCGCTCATCTCGCTTTATTGGCCGAGGGAGCAGGCATACAACTTCCGGGTCATGTGGCCAGCATGACTAAGCCGCTTCTGGTGAACCAGAGCAGCGCACGGAAATGCCGTTTACTTTCCCGCTGGAGCGGTACCTATTTATCTACTTGCACTTTGACGTACTTTCAAACTGCTAGGTGGGCAGGAGCAGGGACCGAACAACGGGAGCTCACCCCGTCGCAGGGATTCGAACCCCCGACCTTCTGATCGGCAAGCCCTAGGCTCTGGGCTGGGATCTAAGGGGTCAGGTGGTCCCTAAGGTCTACTGCACTCAAGTTGTTAAGGGCCTTGTAATTTTAGGCAAGAACTTGGCTCGGTAACCTAGGGGCAGCACCGCGGCTGTGCCGGCTGGGGCTGACGTAGTCCCAAACTTCTGGAAGACACCCCTTTGGCAAAGGCTGGGTGAAATGTGAAGCTACCATGAAGCTTGAGGAGACTAGGAGAATGCAACATCCCACAAGGACTTTCCTCTCCACTTATTCCCCCAAAAGCTAATATGCATCTCAGACACTTGGGAGATTGAGGGCTGTCCTTTCTTGGAGGTTTTGAAGCAGAAGTTGGCTGGCCATCTGCCATGGATGCTTTGGCTGAGATGTCTTGAACTGGCTGAGCCTCAGGGCCCTTTCCAATGAGTCTGTGAACATTTTTGACATCCAAGGCACGTCTCACCTTCAGATTCTCCTGCATCTGCCTTGGGAAGAACAGATCAAGACCCACTTCCTTCCTAGGAAAGAGAAAGCAGAGAGGGCTTGTTATGTACTGAGTTGAATAGGATCCAAATGCAGCACTCTGATTGGTCCTAGAACAATAGGATTCAGAATGCAGCAGTCTGATTGGTCTTAGAACAATAGGATCAGAATGCAGCAGTCTGATTGGTCCGCAGGAGCCACCCAATCCAGCTCCAGGTGGAAGTGAATCCGCAACCTGATTGGCCTATAGGAGAATCACGGAATTAGCAAATCACGTAGGGCCCATTGTGTAAATAATGTATATAAAGCAGACATTTCGGGGGAACTTCTATTCCTCACTACTAAAGGTAAAGGGACCCCTGACCGTTAGGTCCGGTCGCGGACTACTCTGGGGTTGCGGCGCTCATCTCGCTTTATTGGCCGAGGGAGCCGGCGTACAGCTTCCGGGTCATGTGGTCAGCATGACTAAGCTGATTCTGGCGAACCAGAGCAGAGCACGGAAACGCCGTTTACCTTCCCGCCAGAGCAGTACCTATTTATCTACTTGCACTTTGACGTGCTTTCGAACTGCTAGGTTGGCAGGAGCAGGGACCGAGCAACGGGAGCTCACTCCGTCGCGGGGCTTTGAACCACTGACCTTCTGATCGGCAAGTCCTGGGCTCTGTGGTTTAACCCACAGCACCACCCGTGTCCCATTTCTTCCTCACTACTATGAGCTGAATAAAGAGCATGAAATACACACTCGACTCCGATTATATTTCAGGGCTTTACATACTCGCTCGAAATGCATTTGAGGCAACAAATAGAAGAAGACGCCTTCACCGTGGTATGGCTCCCCTTTATCACATACACAGCCCGACAAGACGACGACAAGACTCCGCCGACAGCATACAAATCAATATGGCTAACCTGATCCAAAAACACACACATACCCCACTCACACACAAAAACATATCTCACTACAGCCAACCAAAGACAACCAACCCCACCCTAGGCCACCCTCAACTTCTCTGACCACCAAGGAAATACAACAAGCGAATAGTAAGAGAACCCACACAAATGACGCTGACACACAACCCCACACATACACTAAGTAGAAGAATAGAAGCATTGCCAACTGACCCCACCCCACCCACAATTCCCCCTCTTTCCCCCTTTCTTCCTAACCCAACGCTGTCAAGGTAAAGGGACCCCTGACCATTAGGTCCAGTCGTGGCCAACTCTGGGGTTGCGGCGCTCATCTCGCTTTACTGGCCAAGGGAACTGGTGTACAGCTTCCGGGTCATGTGGCCAGCATGACTAAGCCGCTTCTGGCGAACCAGAGCAGAGCACGGAAACGCCGTTTACCTTCCTGCCAGAGCGGTACCTGTTTATCTACTTGCACTTTGACGTGCTTTCAAACTGCTAGGTTGGCAGGAGCAGGGACCGAGCAACGGGAGCTCACCCCGTCGCGGGGATTCGAACCACCAACTTTCTGATCAGCAAGCCCTAGGCTCTGTGGTTTA